AACCCCAAAAATATAGTTTATGAATTTTTGGCAAGATTTTCAACGAAGTGGGTGTAATTAGGTATTTTCCCACTGAAAATGTTCATTTTTGATCCAACTTTTTGGGGAGAATTTGGCATTCTGAATTAATTTATGAATATTATTCGGTATTTTGGGTATACATCACTGTAGTTTTGTATTTTTAATTAGCACAGGTTAGAACATATTCCTGTCGAGATTTATTAAAATTTGCTCACGTTTGTGGATAGCTCTTTTACAACGGTACCCTCATTGTCCAAATAAGAGTATGCGGGATTATGGCCGCGTTTTTAAACCGAATTTGTTCTAATTGGGTACACATTTTAATTCCCAAACTTCCCCATGGCATAAGCCGTCACGATACCCCGAACGATTATGGTATTTTTTAATTTTAACCTCATGGTGGAGGGTAATCCGGTTGAAAGTCACAAAATTGATCTCTTAACTATCTCACAACGCCTTACCTCATTGTGGAGGGTAATCCGGTTGAAAGTCAGAAAATTTATCTCTTAACTATCTCACAACGCAAAAAATATCAAAATCTACCACAAAAATGGTAATTTTGCCATGAAGCTAATTTCTCACTCTGTGGGTATGTTAAGAAACAAAATTGTGGTATACTGCCATCGCCATTTGGAGCATAATGATCATAACCTACTTCTTTTACCTGCTATTGAAGTACAGGGTGAGATGAAAAAGTGTCACTCGTCAGACAGCTGTTAAAATTATTCCAGTGACAGCTCATTACATTTCAAAAAAAAAAAGTTTTTAGTTTGACTGGAAAACAAGGTTGGCACTAAAAAATACCAATGTCGATCACCTCAAGCAAGCGCTTCTCGGGGAATGGGCCAAAATGGCCGTTTGAAGGCCATAATTCGTGCCAAAGGTGAACGGTTCGAACAAATCTAAAGTTATTCTAAAATTTGATGTCATTTCCGACATTTTTATACCCTTCACTACACTGTGGTACAGGGTATTATGTCTTTGTGCATATGTTTGAATTAGGCCTAAAATGATGTGTGTTAAGTTTCCTGAAAATCGGTTCAGATTTACATATAGCTCCCATATATATATATATATATATATTCGTTCGATTATAGATAAATAGTGTAGCAAAGTCGCTATATATACTTCGATTTGCACGAAATATGGCACAGCGTACTGAATTAAGTCTAAAACGATGTGTGTTAAATTTCGTGAAAATCGGTTCAGATTTAGATATAGCTCACATATATATTCTCGTCCGATTTAAGGTAAATGGTACACCAAAGTCCCTATATATCATTCGATTTGCACGAAATTTGGCACAGCGTAATGAACTAGGTCTAGAATGATGTGCGTTAAGTTTCGTGAAAATTGGTTCAGATTTAGATATAGCTCCCATATATATCTTCGTCCGATCTAAGGTAAATTGTGTACCAAAATCCCTATATGTCTTTCGATTTGCACGAAATTTGGCACAGCATACTGAATTGAATCTTGAGTGATGTGTGCAAAGTTTCGTGAAAATCGGTTCAGATTTAAATATAGCTCCCATATATAGCTTCGACCGATTTCAGATAAATAGTTTACTTAAGTCCCAGGAAATCGTTTGATTTGCACGAATTTTGGCATGCGTACTGAATTAAGTCTGGAATGATGTGTGAAAAGATTCGTCAAAATCGGTTCAGATTTAGATATAGCTCCCATTTATAGCTTCGCCCGAAGCTATATTTGGGAATGGGATAATAATTCCGATATTATGCTTATAAGAATACATGGTCAAATAGGCAGAACCACGGACGTGATGCATACATCAGCAATTATTGTTATATTCATAAAATTTAACTGATATTTAAATGGCCCTAGAGCAACTCAAAAAGAACTGTTCTTTTATATGAGAAGTATGCCAAATATGGATTTACATTATTATTTAAATTTTCTAAAAAAATCATGTTTATTTTAACATTTTTAGACATATTTGTGTAGACAAATTTGAAAATGAACAGATTGGATTGAATGACTTTCATTTTGAAATTGCCCCAAATTCTTATACATCTCTTATCTATACATCTCTATTAACAAACTACCCCCTAAACTGTTCATTGGAGAAATTATGAATCTAGTAATTTTCTCATGTGTACTCACTTGTCTATCACAATCATTGAGTGTACCAAGTGATTTTCATCGGCCGACAGTGTTGCTGTCAAGATTTTGCATTTTTCCCACATCTAAGTTGGGGAGGATGTCATCGTTTTATATGTTGAATGTTATCATTTTAACGTGAACATGCTATGTCAGTATATATATCGAACACAATGATGTCAAAGAAATATTCCCCCTTGTCATTGTACACAAACGCCAATTCAACCTAACATCAAATGGGGTATAAAAATAGACAAACATCTGAAGGACTTATCAGTGACCTGTTCTACCACATGTTTCTTATAGACTGTCAATTCTTTCCTGTCTGCCTGCTAATGGCATAAGTTGAATTCATAGCCATGTATACACAGCAAATCGGTAGAATATAGTAAATAATTTTTTATTTGCACTGTGCAACAAGATTTGATTGCGGGTGGTTGGTAATTTCTCTTTGAGATGAAAGTCCTTGGCGAGTACATTAAAATCCCAGTTGGGCAAATTTGCCATAGGTCAAATTTTTAAGTTGTGGCGCTATGATTTATTTTGCTAAACAAATTCTATTTATGTCTTTGTTTGCAGCTTTTTTAGATAAACATTCCTTAACGTATATCGAACTGAATAATATTTTTGTAGAACATATCTTACTTTCTTGGACTAAAATACAAGTTTTGTTCAATACCCAAATATTGTACAAAAAAAATTGTTTTTAATTATTTTCACATAATATTGGTTCGATATCATATCAATGGTACGAACGACCAGATATTGAACACATACAATCAAAATCATTAGAACATTTGTAAAACTTCATTTCAATACAAATATAATCTTTGTAAAAAAAATAATTATTATATTATGTGAATAGTGTTCAGAAAGTGTTGCCTATGTCCGAATTCCTGCAATTTATGAATGCAAATCATAAAACTTTTAATTCTGGATTCATGTCGGAAGAAGTGGAAAGCAACGTGTTTGGTGGTGGCGGGTTTCTATATATAACAGTTCTTTTCCATATTGTATTTGGAATGTATATCAAAATAATTTGGAAAATACTTATGCGAATTTTACAACGCGAATGCAGAAGACGATAATAAAAAACAATGGAATCACAACTAGCCACAATCGCAATATAAAACGTAGTCAAATAAACACTAAATGGTGGCTGTAGTGGTGGTGTTGCTTTTTATTGGGAGGAATAAACTTGTTTAAAAAAGAGAGAGAAATGAGCGCAAACAGCGGTATAGTATAGCAAAGTTGAAAAATAGTTGTGATGCTAATGAAATGTTTACATTATTGACAAAAAAGTGGCTTGTATGTATATGGATAAAAATAACTATAAAACCACTAAGGGAAGTAGTAAAGTCGGAGGGGGCCGACTATATGATACCCTTCACCACTTTGGGCATATCCAACAGATGAATCCTAACAGACGCCGAATTTTTGAACGACTATTAACATGAAAAGGGATCGCTAAACATGTCATGTACTAAAATTATATAAATCTATATATATATATATATATATACCGCATAACTTGCCACACTTTATGTTATAGTAACTACGTTGTGCAAAATTTGTGTAAAATCGGACGAAAATACATATGTAGACGCTATATCAAAATCTGAACCAATTTCAATGAGACTTGCCAGAGATTAACTACGGTTCATTGTACAAAATTGTGTTGCAATTGGACACACAAATGCACAATTTACATAAAATCGGAAGAAAATATATATGGGAGCTACATTTAATCTGGACCGATTTTCAGGAAACTTAATACACATAATTCTAGACCTAATTCATTACGCTATGCTAAATTTCGTGCAAATCGAAAGATATATAGTTACTTTGGTACACCATTTACCTTAAATCGGACGAAAATATATATGGGAGCTATATCTAAATCTGGCCCGATTTTCAGGAAACTTAACACACATCTTTCTAGACCATTTACATTAAATCGGAAGAAAATATATATTGGAGCTATATCTAAATCCTAATTTCAATAGGGTTCGTCCTTGGTCCAAATAAGTGACCTATGCCAAATTTCATCCAATTCGGATCATAAATGCGACCTGTACTTTGTTCACAATTTAACATGGACAGACGGACGGACATGCATAAAACGACTTAAAAAGTGATTTATGCATATTCTCAAAAGGAACCATGTGTCTATCTCGTTTCCTTTTGCCTATTACAAACATATGCACAAAGACATAATACCCTGTACCACAGTGTGGTGAAGTGTATAATGAAATATGAAAGTATTCATTAAAAATTGTGTTCTGTGTATATGCCATAAGTGATGTAGGGTATAATTTGGTCTGCTCCGCTCGACTTTTGTCCTTTCCTTACTTCGTTTTTATTAAAACAAACGCCCACTCTTTCAAAAAAAAAAAAAAATATAAATAAATAAATAAAAAAATGCCTTAGGAAACGTTAAATTCTACAAAAATGTTGTGTGTGTGTGTATATTTTTATATTTAAAGATTCAGGCATTGGTTTATGTCAACCAAACACACACACACATATATATAACATTCTTCTGATTTCGAAACAAAAAGAGAAATAGAAAAAATAGAACCACAAGAAAAAAACATAAAACTTACAAGTATGCCATAAATAGAAGATTATTGTGTGTCAAATGGGTTTGGCTCGTTTATTTGCTCAGTTCATAGCAAATTCATATGATTTCATTTGTACAAATTGCATGCATTAATCATGTCAAAGAATTTATCTCAGTCCGAGTAGAGAAACATGCACGCACACCAGTTATACAGACGAACACTAATGCACGCATATTGGCAATACCCACATGTGTGTGTGTGTAGATGTAATAGTACACCATAATATTTACTTACCCGTTAGAAATGACAATCGACGCATAGCCGGAAATGGATGGTGGCCGGATGTGTCCAGAATATCTAATTGATAGACTTCATTACGGATGCGGTACAATTTCCGATGAAAATCCTCTATTGTCGGTGTATAGGCTTCTTCGAAGCGATTGCCAAGAAACCGGGCTATTATTGATGATTTGCCCGAACGTGAAGATCTGTAAAAAATGCGAATATTTCCATGTGATTACGTTTTTTACAAGTTATATTTTTGATAAAAATTTCGAAGTCTCAATCATCATTAAGAGTAAAAAAAACTTTATCTGCGGTGTAATTGGAAGAGATAAAAAAATACTGTCATCGGTTAATAACAGAGCTAGAGAAATATTGTCAATAGCTTTGCAATAATTTCAAATTCTAGAATTTTTTCTTTGAAAAATATGTTTTTGCTATAATTTAATTGGAAAATCTTGTGATTACATATTACTTATATGTAATCACATATTTTCCCAAACGAAAGGATGAGATGTGTAAAACAAGGATATGTTCATTTTATATATATGTATATAGTATATCCAGTAGACATGTTTGTGTGTTATTAACAATTCAAATTCAATGAACAGTTAATTAAATGCGAAAACGTGATTTAATGTACTTATCATTTTCGATAATCCTTTGGTTGTTAGTGGCCAGGATAATAATAAATGGGCTGTGAAATTAATTAAGGTATGTCTATAATACCGTAGTAATTGCATACAATTAAAGTCCGTAGATTGACTTTAATATGGAAAAACTTTCGTTTAATTACTCCGCAAAAGTTTTACACATTCTATTTAATGATAAGACACTTGTAATAGTTGATTTCTTGGTACAATCCACAAAGACTACTCACTAGGTTTG